GTGACCCAGCAGCAGCCCTGGCAGGAGGAAGTCATTTATTTCATTTATTTCACATCCCGTTGTTTTGAGCATGTCCTGGCCACTCAGTTGGCCCCCTGAGACACGTGTGTCACCCTCCTGTCCCTGAGCCAGCCTTCAGCCACCCTGCAAGATCGTGGGTGGCCTGCCGCCAGGCCCCATGGGGTACCCGCAGGCCGTGGCACCGCGCTTCCTTTTCTCTTTCCTCCTTTATTTTTATTTTTTATTTTTTGGTACTGTGAGGAGAGAGGCATTAGGACATCAAAGGCCAGGGGATGTATTTTGAGGCTAACTGTGACAGGGAGACGCATCCCGGCATCAGCGAGTGGTTCGGGCCCTGCCTGCTGCCCTGCGGTGGCGTGCGGGAGGAGGCCATGGACTGCCGCACGGCAAGCATGCCGCGAGCCAGCCCTGACATCTGGTTTGTATCGGCAGTGCACGGGGATCTGGGCGCTGGAACTGGACCGTGTCTGTTTTCTCTTGCTGGAGCCCAAATCAAAGTCTTAATTAAAGAAAGCTCGGAGACGCTTTCAGCAAGACGGCCGGGGGTCAGTGTGCGGGGGGGCTTTTTCAGGAATATGAACTTGTCGTGGTTCAGCACGCTCTCTCAGATGAAGGGTGTGTTTTGGGGCGAGGGCACACTTGTGCAGAGCCTAAAGCGGCACAGACATGTTGCACGTGGACTCTACAGCTGCCCTCTGTGTGCGTGGAGCAATAACCACAGTCCCCAAGAACCGCAGTGCCTCCCACCTCCCTCCTCTTGTTGCCAGCAGCTACCCATGCCTGATGATGCCCCTTCTCCGGAAACCTTGTGGTTCCCCCACCATTCCTCCTTCACTCCACGCCTGTCCTAGGGCTCCCCTCTCTCTGCTGCCAGCAGCAGCACCGCAGCAATGCCGTCTGCCACCGCTGGCTGTGGGCTGGACGCTGCCCGGCACTGCTCTCTGGCTTCCGTAACAGGCAATCCTTTCTTTCAGATAATTGCTTTTCATGCTGTTAGAAACTCTTTAGGTTAATTTATGAACCATAGTGCTCCTATTGCCACTTCTGAGCAGCCAGTACCACTGTAATAAAATGTCTCGAGCACATCAGATCTCCAGAAACCCCTTTAGTCGGTTCCCAATCCCCATTAAAATTGCAGCAGCGGTTCATCTCTCCGGGGCTACGCTTGCTTTGAAAAACACTCGGCACACATCCTATGCCTCCGATGCGAAGCACGCTCCACGCAGCTGCGGCTTAGGCAATTCAGCCCCGAGTCAACGTGTCACAGCCAATCTGCAGCTACGACTGAAAAGCAGACACCCGAAGCAGAGGTAGGTCTGCAGGATACCCGTCTACAAAGACTGGTATTAAAGGGCATTAGACTGCTGGATGTAGCTAAGGCTTCTAGATTGGCTGCTGGTGATGTCACAGCCACCCGTGTGCCCTATAAATCTATTTTTTGTTTTTATGTGCAAATGATGTAATGCCCACAAGCTTCCTCAGTCAGGGTTCATTATTTAATTTCTCAGGTGGCTGAAGTCTTAGGCTTTGTGGCGTCTGCGGCCACCCACGATGTGCTCTCTCTGCCCAGAAATGAACTTCCTCTTGTGCCTTGTTTTATAATTGGCATCCGCAGAATTAAAAGTCCACTGACCACTCCATGTCATGGGAACACTTGGGAAAGTATCTCTGGAATGATAAAACCATTTTGATCCCAAAATAATGTGTGCTTAAACTAAGGGCTTCTCTGATAGAAAGATGACAATTAGAGGCAACTTTCAATACAGCAAGAAAAACTTCAGTTTTCATGAGCAAATATCACTTGAAAATCACCACTTCCCAAGATAATATCCTTGCTTTATCTAATCATGTATTCCAGCTTTGACAGAATATTATCCTGAATTTTCTTTACTAACCTGGGAGTGCATTTTACTCAGTACACCCATGTCATTCCTGGGGGTATCATTTGCCAGCACAATCCCAAGGACTGATCTGTCTCCTGTTCCTCACCTGCTGGGGTCAGGTACCCTCACCTCACGCTTTCTTTTAATCCTGCTAAACTCTTGTCCTCAGTGTTGTTTTACCTGAATGCTTATAAATCCAAGGAGTTAATCACCCATGAAAAACAGTTTCCTGGACAAGAGGCTTTCCTGAACAGGTCCAATTGAGACCCTGAGAAATTAGCCTTCAGCATAATACTGCCTAGTGTAACTGTACTAAAACTAGGGTTTTTCTGAAAATAACTGGGACCCTTCACTTTTTGGCAGACTGAAATATTGTGCCTTACTCGCAATTAAAATAAATTGAATGGAGCAGTGCAGGGGTCAAATTATTACCATATAAACACTGATTAGCATTCCTTAAACTGTGTAAATCCTTAAAGCTTGAACGGATAATCTTAACAAATTGCAGTTGCTTTCATGAACCTAGAATCAAATGTCTCAAATAAAATTAGCTTTTAGAAGGGCCTGGTCCAAAGCCCACTAAACTTTATGAGAATCTCCTGCATCCCAAAGGCTTAGAGGAAACTGGGAATTGTTTCCTCATCACCAGAGTTATGAAGCTTGCTGAGGAAACACAGTATGGAAGACAATAGCAGATAAAGGCACATGTTTATACAGGAACTGAGAGATATGTGCAAATATATGCTGGCAGGCAAGTTCATTCTTCTATAGTAGTAAATTCATGCACAAGGTACTTCAGGTAGCAGTTATTTAATCTGAGTATCTATGCATCAAAAACATTAAAAGAAAAAGAGAGACAACATTTATCCACAGAATAAAATCTGGTAGGGACTGTTAATGTACAAGGTTGTGAATGACTAAAACACTATTTTCTCAAAGAACTTCAACAAAGAAATAACACCATGAGAAGGATGTGTTTTCATGCTGTATATAAGTGGCTCTTGCCCTTTCTTACAGTGAAAATTCAGGAAGAATACTTTTGGACAGGATGGAGTCTCAAAACAGTCTTTTACTTTCTCTCCGTTTAATATAAACTAGAAGTGGGAAGGTGACAACAAGAAAAAAAATTATATGGAAACTTTTTGCTCTCATCAGCACATTTTTTTTTTTTTACTCGGGGAGAATTTTAGTTGTGGAAGAAGGAACAAGAACTAAGCCCTGTTGTGCAAGTGCAGCTCCTCAAAGGATTGACTCCCAAATATTTCCTCTTACATTTTTATTCAGTCTTTTATATGCTGAATGCATCTTGACCAGGGTTTCATCACCCATATTTCTGTCAGGTTTGAGCAGAGCAAATGTGCAAGAGGGCAGACTACGGACCAAGCACTTCTGGGTGCCTGCAGCCTGCCAGGTGAGCTGGTGACAAGTGGCCAGATGGAAAAGCCACCTCCTTTCACATCTCTGCAGCAGCCAGGCTTCATCCCTTGCCTGGTCATGCACAAGGGCTGCTGCTACTCAGGTCTCGAGATGTCAGCCTGGGGCTGACGGGCTGTGTCACTGAGGGTAAAAAATAAACACCCGAGCATCACAGGCTGCTGCTGGGCACCCTGGATTCCCATGAGAAACTTGCAAAGCTGGATAATCTGCGTCACAGCAGCGTGCAAACTGGGGGCCTGGGCGGGTTAAAAATACTGACTGCCACAGATTTCCCAGGCCATATATAGTTCACACATCTCACAGTAGCAGGAAGGAGATGCAAAGACATACAGAGACACAGAGAAGGAAGAAAGTAGCAGGGGATGCGTCTGCCAGCGTACAACAAAAATAGGTTAAAAATAGGTTAAAAATAGCCTGTGGTGCAACAGCTCTGTGTGGGCGCCGGTGTGCTCTGCTGTCTCAGGGCAGTATCTTGGCTGCCTATTTTCTGTGACGAGGAAAGGGGCAGGAAGGAAGCTTTCCTTTCCTGTGAGCAGGAGGAGAGAAAACTGCAGCTCTGCTTGTCTGAGCTGGCAGGTGTTTGCTCAGCATCCTGACGGACACCGCCTGGGCTGGGGGCACAGGGCCAGCACCTCGTGGGGCAGCAGTGCTCCAGCCACCCCACAGTGCCCAGGCTGGGTGTGCCCAAAAGGGCCTGCAGCCTGTGGCTTGAAAGGTGTGTGGAAATGCGTCTCCTCTTCCTCCCATGTTCCTGTTGGGTACTGAGCTGAGGGCAAAGCTGAGCTGTCCAACCCTGCCTTGGTGAAACCAAAATGCTGGCTCTGCCCACTGCCTTCTCGCTTAGAACCATAGAGTTGGAAGGGACCCACAAGGATCATTGAGTCCAACTCCTGGCACCACACAGGTCTACCCAAAAATTCAGACCATGTGACTAAGTGCACAGTCCAAACTCTTCTTAAACTCTGAGAGGCTTGGTGCTGTGACTACATCCCCGGGAGCCTGGTGTTGTCTCTCTGTGACAATCTCCACCACCTTCTCCTGTACTGGACCATGAAAGCCTTTGCCATCAGGCCAGGGTGCATGGCCTCACCCCCCTACACACCCCCCCAGATCTTTTTGCTTGTTGGGATTTCCAGCAACCAGATGGGCACTGCTGGTGCTCTAAAAAGTGCTTAAAAAAGCCACACAGTTCAGTGTGAGGCCAGATTTAATTTGTCTGTAAAAGTAGTAGGATTTTTATTTTTTGATTTGTTGTCACGTCCATCCTGCAGGCCCAGCTTCCCAGCCCATGACCAACTTCTATCAGCTCCCAGATGCTGACACGAGGCACTGAGAGGCGCCCAAGCCAAAAGCCTGGATTCCAAACATCCCTGAACTCTGGAGAAGTTCAAATCAGAGCACACATCTTCAGTGAGAAGGGGAAAGCTGTAACATGATCCCGGTCCTGTGCAATAGAGGTAACACTCAAGTGCAGTCTGAAGGTGACTTCCAGAATATGCAGTGCGGAGCGGAGTGGAGGAAGAGAAGAAAAAGCACGAAGGCATTTTTAATATGTGGAGAAAACAAATGCTCTAGCAGGGATCTGGGTATCTGCTGCCTGTGGGAGGGTGGGGAAGGTTGCTGACAGAGTAAAGGAGGGTAAGAGAGGTGGATGGACTCTGAATTCAAGAAGGAGTGATACCAAAGAGCCCTGCAAGCTGTCAGAGAGGTGTCAAAAGTTGGGAAGGAGAAGAAAGACAAAATCATGAAGGGAGCAATCCACCAGAGCATATCTTGCATATCTGTGATATCTTGCAACTGACAGCTGTTCAGGCTCACACCTGTCCCTGCCCTGCTCTCTGCCTGCCTTTCACATGGCCCCTAATCCCCCTCATGTCTCAGCTCCAGTTCTGGCTGCAGGGAAGGGCACTCTCAGCCAGAAGGGTATCATGGGGCACTGGCTATGTCCTGTGGGGGACATGAGCAGCATCACCCCCATTGTGTGCTGCTGGCAGTGCTTTTCCTCTGGAGCACAAGAAACTGAATGCTTCCCCTCCAGCCCTGCATCAGCCTCTTTTCATCAATCACTTGGGCATGTAAGTATCAAGGCCAGGCACTAACAATGTCAGCACGCACAAGCACAAATGCTTTTTTCACTCCACATCTGAATATGGACGATTTGATTTCCTTTTCCAGAAGGGCTCCTTCGATGACTCACAGAAAGGCAGCAAACAGCTTAGCTGGGTTTGCCTAGTGCTATATTAAGCCACCAAGTGTGTTTGGACATAACAGCCCCTGGCTGTGCCGGGAACATGCCCTGCGTGAGCTTTATCCCGAGCCGGGAGGGTGCCAGGCTGCAGGACTGGGCAGTCAGATAGGGTGGTCACCTTCAGAGATTACTCAGGGTTAGGGTCTAAGGTCAGTTTAATGTGCTGGCTGCTCTGGCCACGGCTGCAGGAGGGCGAGATGAAAGCCCCACACACGTGGTGTGTGTTAGGGGTGACTGTCTGTGCCTGCGCCCCTTCGCTGGGCCAGGGGAATGAGCTCCTGGGGGTGTCTGAGCTCCTGTCAGTGACTGTTTTGATGGCTTTTGTGCATCCCATAGCACCATAGAGAGTAAGGGATAGCTTCCTGGCTCTCACTTCCTCACTTAATGAATCCCACCACTAATTAGCTGACAGTAACATGCAGCTATTCTGGACTGTAGGTGGATCTTACCGAGGTCATAATGGTTGCGGGTAATGTAATTTATTACCCTGGGAGGTGCTTTGGGATACAGCGCATGAAGACCACTCGGGAAGTGCCAAAGCAGTATTACAAGTCAGTATTTTCCCCGGTAAGGTAATATGTTCCATACTCGCTGTGCGTTGGAGAAATAAAGCATCGAAGTTCCCCTGGCTCCAGTGCAACGCTGTCAAGGTTTCCAAACACATTGGTGGAAACAGAGAACTACTGTGCTAGAGAGGTGGGTCCCTCTTCGGAGCAAAAGGAGTGCAGGGCTTTCATTTTTTCTCCGTCACGCAGCTCTGAAAGCAAAACCTGCCCTGATTGAAAGGTGCCTGAGCTCCTGACAGAGGAGTTGAGCTGGGGCTGCCCAGCAGCTGGGGTCAGCAGCCCGGCCACACTGGGGCTCTGGCTGTACTCCGGGTGAACTCGACCAAATTAGCTGTACATGGTGCTGCATTCCCTCATTTCTCAGAGGATCAAAGCTGCTGGATCGAGTCCCAGCTTTCTGCAGATAAGCAGGTCACAGGATTAGTTTGCACCTATTTGCTGCTTGTAATACACCGTGTTACAGATTCCTCTGTATTTCCTGGGTTGTACCCATACGCACTGGATGCTTGTGGTCACATTTTTTCACTTTAGTCGCCTGAGCTAATCTAGTGACCCGAGATACTTCTACAGACTCCCAACATCACCGCAGATTCCCTGGCACTGTTACACTGACTATAAACTGCTACTGCTATTCTTGCCCCAGCCCTCTTTATGATTCCCTTGTTTTATATAAAAAGCTCTTTCTACCACTCAAAAGGCTTCTCTCATAACCAGAGCAGCACGGGGGCAGGTGCAGCAGCTCTGGCTTTGATTAAGCCGTTTCTGAATGGTGGAGGAAGAAACACGAGACTATCTAGTTTGGTAAGCAATGAGGCATCCGTAATTCCTGAGCAAAATGCCTGTGAAAAACAGGGGGGAGAGGGAAGACAGTAATAATTGGAAATCCATTTCACTTGTATAAAAGCGTTAATTAGTTGTTTATCTGAAGGCATGCCGCAGGCTTCACAAAGACACACACGAGTTACAGCAATTAATTACTAGCAGGGTCTGGGAGACTGTCTCTGTAATTAAAATTTGTGACCAAGCAGCAGTGATGGATGATTCAAAAGCAAATAGCAAACCATATATAAATATATATATATATACGTTTCTCAAAAAAGATAATGTAGTTTTGTGTCGTAGGACTTAGTGAAAACTTGACTGTCATTTTAAAAATTGTTTAAGCAACAGGTACATATCTAATATGCTAGTGATACCTTTAAAATGAGTCAATTTTTATTTTTTTTTTTTAGCCTAAAGAGTTTACCTGTCAGTACAAGCAGACACATATTGAAACTATGCAGGTATGTACATCATATTTGGCAAATAGATTTGGATGAAAAAACAGAGATAGAATTGAGAAAGAAAAATGTATTTTCAGAAAGATGTATTTAATTTTGGAACTCAAGATCATGACCTAATGTTCCTATTTTAATTGAAAAATAAAAATAAATTCCTGAGTCCAAAGTACTCTGTTGATTTGAAGATAAATATTTTTTCCAGTTCTCACACCCCGCTAGAGTGGTAATAGATAGCACATGCTGCCAGTGTCTGTCCTCTCCAGAACATAAAAAGTTTTTAAGGACAGAATGAAGGAGATATTTAAACAGAGGCATCTGGACAACGAAGAAAAATACATGGCAATGCTTTGGACAAAGCATTTAAATGTATTATTTCATTTGTGAGTATTATGCTGTGTATAATAATAGAATAGCACTGAATTAAACTTGCACAACTCCAGTGGGACTGGAAGCATCCTGAAGATTTTGGCTTTGGATCCTTCTTTATGACATTTTTTTGAAAATATGGGATGGCCAGGGAGTGAAGACCATTCCCAAAATAAAAGTGTTTCTTAGCATTATTTTCATAGGCTATTTTTGACAAGGCTGACTGATTGAAAATGATTTCCAATGACTGGTTTCAAAAAGTGACACATTTGTCTTTTGTTGTTGTGAACCATTCAGTTCACATAGACTAAAAATTACTCCTAACCTCTTTTCAAAAATGTTTTTGGTCAGGAGATTATGACAAACTGTGAGTATTGTCCAGGCTCTATCTGAGCTGCGTTCATCGCAGACAATGATTGTGGCATCTGCTTTGTGGCTGACTTAACACCTGCAATCAAGATTTTTGGAGGCACTGGAGTTAACTTGTGTTAACTGAAATTTCTCATCTCTGCTTTCAGCAAGCCACCAAATGTCAACTGTTTTCAGGAGTATTATAGCCAAGAAGCCAACAGGAAGGTTTGCTAAAATGTTTCCATGTAGAAAACAGAAAAATAAGCAGAATCAAGTACAAACTGCATATAGTACAGTACAGCCTGTTTCTTATAGCTCTGTCCAGAGGTAAAGAAAATGTTTCCCTCGGTGAGGTCTTGGAGTACTGTCGGGAAACTTGTAAGGGCTCCTCAAAAGGGAATGAGCTTAAAGCAGTGAGGTTAACTTCTCTATGCAAGCACATGATAGCAGTGAAATATGGGATCATATGGAAGTAGCTTGCCGTAGAAGGTATTCCCCTTTCATAGGCAGCAAATCACAAATTCAAAGCAAAAAGTTGCATGAAATGGAGCTGTAACTCTATATCTAAATATGTAATTCAATTATAAACTGAGTATCTTGGCCACTGGCCAGAAGAGAAGGAATGTTCAATTAATCCATGTATAAAAAGAGTTCATATTGAAACACTGAAAAATAAAAATCAAAGACCTGCCCTTAATTGTAACCCAATGCTGACAAAGGAAAAAAGAAAAAGAAAAAGAAAAAGAAAGAAAAGAAAGAAAAAGAAAAAGAAAAGAAAAAGAAAAAGAATAAAAAGAAAAGAAAAGAAAAGAAAAAGAAAAAGAAAAGAAAAGAAAAGAAAAGAAAAGAAAGAAAAGAAAAAGAAAAGAAAGGAAAGGAAAGGAAAGGAAAGGAAAGGAAAGGAAAGGAAAGGAAAGGAAAGGAAAGGAAAGGAAAGGAAAGGAAAGGAAAGGAAAGGAAAGGAAAGGAAAGGAACGGAAAGGAAAGGAAAGGAAAGGAAAGGAAAGGAAAGGAAAGGAAAGGAAAGGAAAGGAAAGGAAAGGAAAGGAAAGGAAAGGAAAGGAAAGGAAAGGAAAGGAAAGGAAAGGAAAGGAAAGGAAAGGAAAGGAAAGGAAAGGAAAGGAAAAAAGAAGAAAAAGATTGTAAATAACAATATTGCTTGCTAGTTCTTTAGGCTTCTAATTTGGATGCTAAAACACTCATGATGTTCCTTAATGATGAAGGATGAGACCAACATTTTTTCCTTTGCCGACAAACCCGACTGCAGCTTTTCTTGAGCAGGAGACTTTTTCCTTTCAAAATAACACCTACCTAAATGATCAACCTTACAACATAACTACTAAGAGCTAAGTTATGAATCAACAAGAACGATGGTGAGTCAGCATGAAAAAGCAGATAAATCTCAGATTCTGAAAAACAAGGCTAGCGGGAAAGTAAGGATTTAACTTGCATCTTTCAATGAATGCTTTTCTTTCTTTCCTTTTTATAGCTGTACAAGAGAGATAAAGTCAAATAACAGCAATGAATAACTGACACCCCAGTGTCAAAAGTAACATTAAAAATACTTATGAAATTGGGAATTTGGGCAGGAATTTACAGTTGTTCCTTAGGATAAATTAAACAACAAAAAAGAAAAGCTTACCACTAGTAGAGCAATAATCCACACCAGGGAAGGCATAAAACTTTAAGCCATGAACTGAGGCCAAGTAAAAAGTCATTACTAAATTAGCAGAGCCGAACTTTAGTCAGCCAAGACTCCCCTTTCTACCAGTTAATTCAGACAGTTAGTCCTCTCCTCCTTGACAGCCATCTGCGCCTCTTTAAGTTGTCATATTTGGTTTGATTGAAATGTTCACATAGTAAAAAAAATAAAAATAAAAATCCAGAACTTTGAGACAGCAGGAGTCTTACTGACAAGCCTTGTAAAAATCAAACCTATTAAAAAAAAAAAAAAAAAAAAAGCACTCCACAAAGAAGCCAACAGATAGACATTTTATTGGGGTGGGCTTATTGAATTGTGAATTGCACAGTAACAAGCTTACAAAGGTCAGCCAACCATGTTATCCAAGACAATTGCAAATCTCACCCCAACAATTTGATAACGTGCCTCTTTTGCAGCATTATGTGGAATCCCCTCCAAATAGCCAAAAAGCAATGAATATTTTTCATGTTGGATCATCATCTAAGCATTGCTGTCTTCTTCCTAATGTCACCACACTGACGTGTCAGTGTGCTGTAAAGGAACACTTTTGCATGGCGGTTTATCAGAGTGTCCTTGCACTGGAATATTGTAACTACCAGCAGTCTTGACATGCTTTCTTGAGTCTTTGTATTCTTGCTATGCCATTTTCACATTCAGAGAGCTCTCTAACAGGAATCTTGCTCCTGTGCTTATGAAAACATTCAGTAATTTCACACTTAGGAAAACAATAAAAAAAAAAAAGCATATTCTCAGCAAGTGCACACAGGAAGGCATATATGACACCTGCCAATTTGCTCAGCCAATGAGATAGGCACTTCACAAAACAGCTTGTATTTTTATATATATATATAGAATATATAGATAGATACAGATATAGATATAGATATAGATATAGATATAGATATAGATATAGATATAGATAGATATAGATATAGATATAGATATAGATATAGATATAGATATAGATATAGATATAGATATAGATATAGATAGATATAGATATATCTGTCCAGAGAACCTTGTAAAATGACTATAAATTTGCATTAAAATAGAAAAAATATTCAAGACCAAGAAATTGGAAACAGCATACTGGTGTCCAAATAAAGAGTCTTATTTTTTTGGTGGGGGGGGAGAAGAAGGAAGGAAGGAAGGAAGGAAGGAAGGAAGGAAGGAAGGAAGGAAGGAAGGAAGGAAGGAAGGAAGGAAGGAAGGAAGGAAGGAAGGAAGGAAGGAAGGAAGGAAGGAAGGAAGGAAGGAAGGAAGGAAGGAAGGAAGGAAGGAAGGAAGGAAGGAAGGAAAGAAAAAGACCCTGAAAATGTCTGAACATTTTCTTCGCCTAAAATAAAAAGTTAGTTTAAAAGGCAGGTAAGTTAAAATCAGTATGTTTCTGCACAGCAGAAACTCATTATGGTACTACAGTATTTGATTCCTCGTATAAAAAATATGGGATATGAAATGAATGGTACCTCAGATCTACTACAGAAGACAATTCATAATACTGAAAAATCCCAGGAAATTTCAATGGTGCATGGCTGCATGTCTTAGCTTTAAAAATTTTGGAGGATTTATGATCCACTTGCAAAGAAACAGTAAAATTGTGGGTGTAAAGAAGCACTTCATAAAATCCTTGCATAATTTTTTACATATACCTAAAGAATGTGCAGTCAGCAAAGCAAAACGTGGAAATGTTAACATCTTTTTCTTTCTCATTCTAGCGTGACTTTTTCTAATTTAAACAGCACCGTATGGGAAGTTCCTCTGTTTTTAAAGATGAGACAAAGGGGTGATATTATGCCTTTGAAGACACACATGCTGATTTTGTGTGTGTGTGTCTTGTTAACTTAATTCAAAATGTACACAGGAAAAAGATCTCCTTTCCCATGTAGGTAACTTTAAATCCCATGATAACTTTTATTATTATCATCATCATCATCATCATCATCACCATCTAATCAACGATGGCCATGTCATTGTATCATTAAATTTACAAAGTGTATGAAGATTTGTTATTCCAAAATATACATTATACTTCTGGTCACCTGTTGAACTCACATCTTTCTATTAAGCTGAACTGAATTTCAATAATTATCACCAGTTATGATAAATACAATTTTTGTGTTCACAACACAAAGAAATATGGAGCTTAATTCTACCACTAAGATTTTTGAAGTGATACCCCAAAAATTCCCTGTGCATCTTTCTACTGGTTTCTCCAGGCCTTGATGCTGGTATCAAACAACTAAGTCTAAGCAAATCTGTAGAAATGTAGACACAGAAGTTGATTATTCAGTGATTGGCACATTTTGTCAGGTGTTAATACCACAATATCGGACATCATAAATGGTGAAAAAAAATGCTTTTTGTCCTCTCACACACATTCACATGTGTATATTCTCATACCTATGGTGTCATAGTACAGATTTTAATTGTCTAGTGAAAACCTGGACATGAGATCTGATTTTATATGTAACGTAACAAAACTGCCATTGTCAGGTAGTAACGCTAGATCACAGCCTAAGGGTGAGGTAATTTGTGTCTTGAGCTATCAAATACGTCTTCATGACATATGTGAAACCCAGGGAGT